ACAGGTTGTCATGCGGGTTATTAAAAACAAGTGAAAATATTTGGTATAGTTGGTTGAAACGGCCGAAATAATAAGTCTTCGGAATATTGCAAATATGTAGTAAATTGTATTCGATATCGGATTTTTGTCAGGGTTCAGGCTGCAATAGGGTTAAATCTTTATCTGAATGAAATTATTCAAAGCGAATATATGCTAGAATAAGCTGATGTGGCGAGCACTTATCAAACTAAACTGTTATACACTAGTTGTCCCGCAAACTAGTTGATATCCACGACATTTTGCTCACGAAAGACCACGGCTGCCTTAGCTCACCCGACTGATCCGTTCTCTGTTATGTGAGCCGGAGTTAAGAATAGTTTTCTTTAATATGCAACCCCATGAAAATAAACTGCGCTGCCAGATGTGTCCGAGTTACAAAGGACACAATAAGAAAATCCTAGTGGGAAGGTAACCTCATCTTAAGCTCGGTGAACTGAAAGGAATCTGATCCAACTTGGAAATCCTCATTTTGTCAATCACAATTATCAGCCGTTCGCGACCACCGCGTTCGTACCGTAAAAGATTAGCAGCATCTGATAGCTGTGCCTTCGAGGGTTTAAACGGTTCACGGGTCTATTTGTTTCGCTTTAACTCAGGTTAGTTTGGGATTTTGCTTTTCATATAGGTCTTCATTTTTTTTTCGTAGGGCCGTATAAGCTTGTTTACATTTCATAATAGTTGACATTACCCCTGATCAGGAACTTTTTATTAGGATTCACTAATTGGTCGAGAAACAACACTAGTGCCATCTGTTATCAGTTGGCATATACTCTAGAGCACGTGAGAGCGTGCAGTATCAAGACTATAGCATTTAATGACACCATACGGGTTGCCTTGTCGATGCCTTTAGACGCATTATGGTTTTGCATAGTGATCATTTCAGTTGAGTGCATGTGTAATTGCTAGACTGCATCCTTTTCCTCAGAAAGAAAACCAACTTGTACAAATCTTTTCTAAAAATGTTTTACTAGAAAGTAACCACAACGAAATTGTAGTGTTATCTTCATAGCAACACATGAATCAATAAAAACACCCGACGGACAGTACTGAATATAAAAACCCAGCAATGTTCACGTTAGATTATAATGCATTAGCAGCTGGTTTAACGTATTCGAGGCGCAATCTCAAGAAGCTATGTCAGAACGTTTTCAAATACGAACACGAACACACACTATTGTGCCAATTAAAACAGTTAAATATTTTCTTCTCACAAGTAAATGACAACTAAACTTCGCTCAGAAAATTGCCATAATCGGTACTAGAGAATGATGCAACTACTTTATCATCTGATTATCTTATCAGGGTTGTGTTACGCCGGATTCTGAAGTGCATGATCAAATCTTCCGGCAAGGATGGTTATATATATCTATATTTTTAGATTAGAAGAATGCGAGAAAAAGGAACAAGAGAGAGAGAGAGAGAGAGAGAGAGAGAGAGAGAGAGAGAGAGAGAGAGAGAGAGACGCAAAGGAGAGTTAGCTTAGTCGTCTTAAGTGGGGTGCATTGACATTAGGGGGTCTTTTTACAAAATGTATATATTTATATGTAAAAATATTTATGTATACATATACATACGCAGATGAATGTGTATATATATGTTCTTACCTAGATGTTTCAATACGGGAGAACAGCGAAGCTTAAATGGTCCCATCTACTATATTTAAATTATCTTATAACTCCATCTTCCACGTTTCAATAGTTCTGTTTGGGAAACTGAACTTCTTGACATCTTTCCCGCCTCTTTTTACTTTTAACTTTATGTTGTGTCCTCCTGTTCTTCTTGTGTTAAAAAGGTCATATTTGTCTAACTTCGCCCTTCCTGTAATATTGTTGAACATCATTATCATTCATCTCTTTTTCTTCTTTCTTCCAAAGTAGTGAGACTTATTTTCTGTAGTCTTTCTTCTTAGCTCATATCTCTTAGAGTAGAGAGCAGGTGCCCATCTTGTGGCTGCTCTTTGAACTCTTTCTAGTTTATCCATATTCCTTTTTAAGTGTGGACTCCATTTCACTGCACCATACTCGAGACTAGGTCTTATGATGGCTGTAATGACTTTCTTTACCATGTCTTCGTCCACATACACTAATGCTCTCTTCATGGCAATCAGCCCTAGCATTTCATGAACCTTGTCATTTATATGATCATTTGGGCTTAGGTTCCTGTTTATGATTATTTTAAGGTCTTTTTTCTTTATCTGCTTGGTTTAATATTACGTATCCTAACTTGTATTGGTATAGTGGATGATTTTTCCTTGCTCCGAATCTGACTACATGGCATTTATTATTGTTAAATTATATTTTCCATTTACAACTCCAAATGAATAAGTTCTCGGAGGCATTGGCATGAAACATCTTCTATTATCATTTTTTTGCAATTTCGCGTCGTCTGCAAACATTCAGATAACTACCTAGGCTTATGTTTGACCCTAAATCATCTATGAAAATAATAAACATAATCGGCGCCAAGACCGATCCTTCAGGTACTCCGTCGCCATGCTGAGTGCTTCCCTCTAATTACGGTTCTCATCTGTCTTTCATGAGGAAAGTCTTCCATCTATTCGAGGAGTTTGCCTTTCACTCCACCTAGGTGATCTAATATCCATGTCTTTTATGAGACACCCTATTAAGTGCTTTATTAAAGTCTTAAGTATACACAATCCATCCAGCCGTCTCTTTCTTGTAATATTTCAGAAGCTCTATCACAGAAACTTCGTAGAAACTACCTTCCTTCACTAAAATTAAATTGTTTATTTGATATTGTATCATGTTTTTCAAGTACTTCAACCCACTGTTTCCTTTTATCCTTCCTAACAGTTTACATACTACACTAGTTAACGAAACTGGTTCATAATTTAGAGGGCTTTGTTTATCGTCGTTCTTGTATAAAGATGTAACATTGGCAAGTTTCCAATCTTTTGGTAGTTTACCTTGTCTCACTGAATTTTGGAATATTAACAATAACGGAGTACTGAATTTATCTGTATATTCCCTCAAATCCCAGTTATATCTAATCTGGTCCCTCTGCTATAGTCTTGTCTGACCCTTTCACTAGGGCCTTTATTTCATTCTTTTCGAATGTGATATTTTCGGTATTCCGATTTACGCTTGTACGGTTACTTGTCATTTCAAAGTATGGGTCTTGAACAAACAATGACTGAATTTTTTCATTAAGGATGTCACACATTCCCTCCTTAGTATAAACGAGTTTATTTTCGTTTACGGCGCCAATTTGATCTCTACTTTTAGTCTTACTATTTATATAGTTATAGAAGAGCTTTGATTGGTTTGTAAATTTATTGATTATATCCTTTCCAAAGTATAATTTCGCCTTCCTCATGGTTTGAGTATACTCATTTCTTCATACTTTATACCCATAATACGCTGCCTGAGATCTATGTCTTCTGAACCTTCTCCAAAGGAGCTGTTTTTTTTCTCTCATTTTCTTGCATTTATCATTGAACCACTTTTGGCCATTTCTTGCTTCAGTTTTAAATTCTGATGCAATTTTTTTCTACTCCTTGTTTATAGACAAAATTGAGAATATTGCATAACAAGAGTCTCATCGTTCAGGAGGGTTTCCCAGTTTATGTCACCAAAGAAATCTTTAAGGTTTCTATTATTACCTCTCTTGTAATTGTACTTTCCTTTTCTTCCCTTAATTACGATTAGTTTTTCCTGTAGCAGACAGAATCTCAACTTAATTACTACATGATCACTTTTTTCCTAGAGGAGGGCGGTACTGTGCGTATGTGTGTATATGTATATGAATGTGTATGTATGTATGTATATATATATATATATATATATATATATATATATATACATACATATATACATACATATATATATATATATATATATATATATATCGTATCATAATTTGACAACAATGAAGTAGAAACTGCCAAGTCACTTTTACTAGCTTTTCTTGAAAGGAAGCCAAATAAGGAAAACATTTACAAATTATCATTCATCACTATGATCTCCAGTACTTTCACCGTCATCTTTGCCAAGTCACCGTGACTCATCTTTAGACTGAAGGCAAGCTGTGTGGTTATGTACATAGTTTACACGCCCATAACAGAGAACGTCAGCAAAGAAAAACATAAGAGCAAATTTGATAATATTCAGTATATAACTAAATGACTAGTGATCTGTGCCACGAGTCTAAAAAGTTGTGGAAAGAGGTACATAGAAAGTCCTAAGCGGAAACAACATACTGGTCAGTATTCTTTTGAGTTTTGTTCTGTTGATATCGTTGTATCTAATGAACCACACATTGGGGAGCGTGATGGTATATGTGTATGTGTATATCTATATCTATATATCTCTCTCTATATATAGATATATATAGATATATTAATGACCAGAAGCATGTCATATATATGTTAATTTGCGAAATGGTAATATTAATAAAGAGCTTGTAAAATTTAGTCGAGTTAGCCCTCTAAACTGTTCCATTCCATTTTCTATACCCCTCAAGGTCACTGAGGGAAGTAAGCATGCACCCATACTCACGCAAACCAACTAGTATCAAATACAGCAACACACTGTAATGCGCCAATTGTAAAAAATAAAAAAAAATAAAAAAAGTTAAATTAATAAATAAAGTGTTATAATTTAATATCTTATAAAGTCATTGTTGAACATTAGCAAAATCAATACGATTTAATATACTGACGTCTCTGTATATGTACCTTTTATTCCCTGAACAAATGTAGATTATAGTGTCAGAATAATAGCGTGTCCATTTAATATTTTGCTGCCATTAAAATCACATAAAAAATTATATCGTTTAAACTCGTAGTCATCCTTTTGGCGGTGGAGACAAGCTTCACCAGTAACAAAAATCACAGTTATTTACCATAAATACGGATATCTTAGCACTTGATTCACTCAGTATGAAAGCGTAAATGAACCATAACTCTTCTGTATTACGGGTAATTCGTGACACTCCATATGACTCTTGATTTTAATTGTCGAAATTCTATCCCGAACACTCGGTTATTCCGCCCCGATCGCCATGCCCCAAGGATACCGTTGCTTTCTGTTGTGAGCCTCCAGGGAAGGGTCGTAGTAAAAGTAAATGTCGATATGCGCAATGTGAATATCAGTATGTAATGTCTTTATGTAATCGTTTATTTATCATATGATGTGACTGCTACTGTATAGTACTTGTAACTTTTTTTTTGGCATGCTTCTTTGTTATTTCAGTAATCAGCTTACTTCGCTTACTTAGTATTTAGCTGAATTCCGAAATTTTCCAACCCTTTCGCATTCTAATTCATGCACACGCACACTCACGCACACGCATGCACGCACGCACGCACGCACACACACACACACACACACACACACACACACACACACACACACACACACACACACAAACACACACACACATACACATACACACACACACGTGTGTCTGTGTATGTATATACTTAGTATATAAATACATACATACATATATATATATATATATATATATATATATATATATATATATATATATATGATATATGTGTGTGTTTGCGTGTTTATTAGTTTGTAGGCTTGTATTTGTGTTAGAGAAGTAGATAAACATTTAGGTTTATATAGAGAGATATGTATGTATATTTATGATAAATCTTAAAAAAATGGATGATAAAGATTAGCTTCACAACGGAAGAGATGCAACTGACGCATTTCAGTACATTTTTTACACGAGTTACATGTAATTCTGATGAAGATTTAATCGAAACCTTTGTTTTCTGAAATTATTCTTATATCTGTTTCACAATGCATGCGTGTTGACGCGTATATATATATATATATATATATATATATATATATATATATATATATATATATATATATATATATATATATATATATATATTGTAACTTTCTCACTTCTACAGGGTTTATATCAGTGACATCTCCCATGCAGTACTTATAGACATGTTTAGATCAGTTTGCGGTAGAAAGGATGGAAAAGGAAGCAAAACGGGAGACTAGGAGACCCTAAATTAAATTACTATACTTTGTTCTATAGATTATTCATGTAACACCTTATACTTTAGATTATTATATGTCAGAAAGAAAAAAAATCGTTTTGTTAGACTACAGTTACCTTATAATTCGATGATACAGGATCTTAAAAATATATAACAGGCACATATATATAAAATAGATTACATTTAGTCATGGATTACCACTGTCTTGTTCCATTGCAGGTGTTGCAGAACGCCACGATGATTGTAGAGATCCTGCTGTTCGTGGTGGTAGTGATTCTGCTTCACTATTGGATTTCCAGACCCCGGGGAATGCCACCAGGTAAGGCTGCTTGGTACAGTGCTTTGAGCATTAAGGTGTCAACCACCTTAAGTAATAACATTTTCTTCATGACAGTTTCACATGTTGTTATTCCAGGTCCTATGGTCATACCATATCTTGGCTCCAGGCTCATCTTCACTGTCAGCCAAGTGCAGGCGATGCACAAGATATACGGCGACATATTCAAGTAAGATAATATTCTCCCTACAGTTCTAGGCTACTTCAGAGCATGTTCATTCTTCATCTTTTCTGTTGCGAGTGAGTTGTTTTTTGTTCCCTGGTTCACGATTAGCCCTTAGTTGTCAGTTTCCTATGAGAGACAAATCATTTCTTGTTGATGTTTTATTGTATACTCCTTTTTGTAGGCGATACCTTTTCCCGTTATTTTTCAAGGTTCAGCCACAATACTATCGATAATTTCTAAAAGCATTCTTGTTTCTTATTGCTAAGAGCTCTCGCATTATTGTATTCTTTAGAGTTCCTTGTATCTCTCTCTCTCTCTCTCTCTCTCTCTCTCTCTCTCTCTCTCTCTCTCTCTCTCTCTCTCTCGTTGTATCTCTCTCTCTCTCCCTCCCTCCCTTCCTCCTTCCCTCCCTCCCTCTGTCAACATTAACGGAAAGAAAATCAATTTGCAGATCTGAAATAGGATCACACAAGTTGATATTCTTGTGCAGTAACAAACTTATCAAAGAAGCCTTAGCGAAGGTGGACTTCGCTGATCGACCACGCCTTGAAGTGGCTCACTTTCTCACGGACGGCCAAGAGGCAGGTAGGCACTGTACTTAATAAGTGTCTTAAGTATCTGCGCTGATTATGTCAGACGTGTATTCTTGTGTTTTCTCTCCTTTTGTTCAGGTATGTAGACATACATCAATATGTATTTGCAAGCGTAAAATGACATTTATATATAAGTAAATAAATATACGAATTATGTATGTGTGTGTGTGTGTGCGCCCGGGTGTGTGTATGTATGTATATATGTATGTATCCTATATATGAGTGTGCATATGTGTGTGCATGCGCGTGCGTATGTGAGTTTTAGTGTGGTAATAATGGTTTAGGCTCTTGTGGGCCTTGTTTCAAATTACGGTTCTGTTATAAGTTACCCCCTGTAAGAACGCCACCACTGCATCACACGCTGCGTTTGCACACCAACAGTAGACACACTGATCAATTCCATGTTGGTCATTTGGATTTACTTGAGTTTGCTTTATCTTGGGCAGGTGTACACCACACACACACACACACACACACACACCACACACACACACACACAACACACACACACACACACACACAACACACACACACACACAACACACACACACACACCACACACACACACACCACACACACACACACACCACACACACACACACACAACACACACACACACACCACACACACACACACACAACACACACACACACACACACACACACACAACACACACACACACACACACACAACACACACACACACACCACACACACACACACCACACACACACACACACACACACACAACACACACACACACACCACACACACACACACCACACACACACACACAACACACACACACACAACACACACACACACAACACACACACACACAACACACACACACACAACACACACACACACACACACACACAACACACACACACACACACAACACACACACACACACACAACACACACACACACAACACACACACACACAACACACACACACACACCACACACACACACACACAACACACACACACACAACACACACACACACAACACACACACACACACCACACACACACACACCACACACACACACACACACACCACACACACACACACCACACACACACACACCACACACACACACACAACACACACACACACACACACACACACCACACACACACACACAACACACACACACACAACACACACACACACACCACACACACACACACACAACACACACACACACACACAACACACACACACACACACCACACACACACACACACCACACACACACACACAACACACACACACACACACACACACAACACACACACACACAACACACACACACACACAACACACACACACACAACACACACACACACACACACAACACACACACACACACCACACACACACACACCACACACACACACACCACACACACACACACCACACACACACACACAACACACACACATAATGAGCAACGGCAAGCGATGGCAGAACGCTCGGAGGTTCCTGCTGCGCAACCTTCGTGATCTCGGGATGGGAAAGACCTACCTGGAGGAGAGCATCCTGGTGGAGGCCAGAGCGCTGGTCAAGGACTTCAAATCCTGCGCGGGGACGCCGGCTCACATTCCTGAGTCGCTCAATGTTGCCGTTTTGAACGTCATCTGGCAGTTGGTTGCAAGTGCGTTTTCTGATCATGTAGCTGCTTAGACGAAATATCAGTCAGTGGACGAATGATAATTAGCTGGACGCATTACCTTTCTCCTTTACCATTATCACTACTATGATTAGCAGCGGCATAGTAGCCATAGTCGTAGCAGAAGTAGCACAGGCAGCAGTAGTTGCAGCAACAGCAGCAGAACAGCAGTGGTATCGTTAGTATTGCCTTTATTCTTAGGTAAGCGCTACGAATTCCACGACAAGGAGGTCCTCGAGCCCATCGCCATCTTGAGGTCCATCGACTCGTCCTCCTTTGCTACACTCGTCGAATTCTTTCCTGGTGTCAAGAAACTTCTTCCCGGGTTCCTAAAGGAGAAGTTATTTGCAGGGCAGATGAAGAGACTGAAGGACAGCATCGTAGATTTACTGAAGGTAAACATGAAAAAGATAGATGGGATGGAATATTTCACAGCACGTCTATAATTACGGGATATTTCTTTCTATTATTTTGAATATAACGATTCCCTCTATTATCATGCTTTCTCTCTCTCTCTCTCTCTCTACACACACACACACACACACACACACACACACACACACACACACACACACACACACACACACACACACACACACTCACACACATACACACACACACACACACACACACGCACACACACACACGCACACACACACATGCACACACACACACGCACACACACACACTCATATATATATATATATATATATATATATATATATATATATATATATATATATATATATATGCACACACAAACGAAATGGTAAAAAACAAACAATAGAAATGGAAATACTTGCGTTACCGTGTCTGAAAGAAAAAGGATCAATTAATGCTTTTGTTGATTATTTCCTGTAATTGTTCATGTTTAGCATATCTCCCTGCTTTTTATCACCATTGAAGCTCCTCCGGCATGGATGCTTAAAAATAATCTCAAACTTGTTCACAGTTATAACTCCTTAGAGAACATGACCTTAGACCATTCATTAGAGAGGAAATCTGGTTGTTCAGTCTTATACTCTCGAACTCTTAAGGAGGATGTGTCATAACCTTACTTTAGAGTTATGCAACAGTGTCTTTTGACTTTCTTTTTCTGTGACCTAAGTCTTTTTCCCTCTTCAGAGATCGAAAAAATCAGCGCGTCAATTTTTTTTTGGACACTACAAATTCCCTCGCATTTTTTTCCCCATGGGCAACGGAATGACTGTATGTACCCATTGTTTATCAATACTCTGTGCGAGAGGACACGTGAAATCAGCGACGTATGACAAAATCAGTTAAATTCAGTGATATTTGCAAAGGCTGACTTCGCCCGGGCCTCTCATATATGTGCCCCGGCCGCAAGACAAAAGTCTGGGTCATACATGTAACTGCATCTCTATGCCAGCAGTTCAGCGCCAGCCCTTCCTCTGCTTCTCATCACTCTCAAACCTCCACGCACACGGTACATCGCTGCCAGATTCACGATCGCGATACCAACTGGGCATTATTAGCTAGGGAAATGGAAACTACAAACCTTTCCCATTTTTCTTGCGTTTCCGTTTCGTTTTCGGACACTGCATATGTGTGTGTGTGCGTGTGCGTATAAGCGCGCATTTGTGTGTATGTGCACTAATAAACGAATGTGTACATATATATATATGCATTTAAATATGTGTATGCGATAATCTTATGTAAAGCATGTGTTACTCGAAACCTCACGGCCAACATACCCGGTTTCCCTCAGGACTCAATAGATTCTCACAGAGCCACACTCGACCCAGCCACCCCGCGTGACGTCATCGATGAATATCTAATAGCCATGGACGAAAAGAGTGAAATTGCTGAGTACTTCAGTGGTGAGTTTTCGTTTTGTATATCTGCTTATTAACTAGATAAATGTATAAAATGTCTTGATAAATAATTCACAGAAATGCATTTTAAATCTTACAGTTGTAAAGCATTTATTATAATAATAATTCGTCTATAATTTTAGCTGCCACTTATGTAGCTGCTGCTTATACATGTACAAGCAACATCTATTTCTGCTGCGACAAAAAGGTCAAGCAAGCCAAGAAAATTGATGATTTAATTTAGCATTGGAAATGATAACAGAAGGCCAAGTGTACTCCTGGCAGAACTGGATCTGATGAGGATTATCTTCGACCTGTTTGCCGCGGGCTTCGACACGACGGCCAACACCCTGCGCTGGATCATCCTCTACATGGCCAGGTACCCTGAAGTGCAGCATCGCGTCCAACAGCAGATTGACGAGGTTGTCCCACGTGACACCTTACCCTCATACCAGCACAAGAGTCGGTAAGTTCACCTGTCTCGCATGCGAACCATCTGCTGAGTATTAGAGCCTGATATTATGATTAGGACTTGACTGATGTTGCGGGTGCTTCATGCTTGGGGTAATGTGAAGCGATGGTGTGGTAGCCTAGCCTAGGTGTTAAGCGCTTTGCATGCCTTCTCACTTACAGTTGTCACCGCTGGCTAGCCTGGTGCGAAAAGGGAGCAGCTATGTATAAGACTCCCCTGCCAGCTCATAGCCTCTCCATCATCAAGACTTCTGCAGTGCCTCCTCGTGGCCACCCATGGAAACTAGGTACCTTGCAGTCCTAGGCTGAAATGTGGAGGCTTTTGGAGGCCCTAACGCTACAGAGTCATGGCCCACTGGCATGTGGATACGCCCTGGCTTCATACTAACTCCTGCCCCTGTACCCCCTGGGGTTAATGGGCAGCTGTAGGGAGGCAGGCCTTCCCGAGATAAGCTACTGGCAATAAATAGTTGTTGGTGCTGGGGGGAGGGCTAAAGTCCCTCCCACCCAGCAAGAATGGCAGGCTGTGGGTCCCTCTGGATTGGCGACCACTGGGACTCGGGTAGCGAGCGCAGGTTACCCATCATCCCATCTGGGTTCCGGCGGCCGCCAACCTGGTGTGATGCTTGTGGGGGAAAGCCCTAGGGAGGATTATGGGACCTGCAGCCAGCCAACCTTCTCTATATGGGGCGGCGTCGGTAGGGGTGGCAGAGGTGGCACCCACCCAGAGTGACAGCCCGAGGTTAGACCTCAGGCAGTCACTCCATTTCTTGCGACAGGACAATCGGTTACCACTACTGTCAAGGGAATTGAAGCAGCTGAGAATTGAGGTGGCTGCTCTCTCAGAGGTGAGAAGACCTGGTAGTGGCATGATTAGTGTGGTTGGGCCACAGCGATGGCCACCATCTCCAGGAAGGTGCCATAGCCAGCTCCAGTAGACTTCAACCCTCGGGAGTAGAGGTCACTCCAGTCTTTCACTTGGCTTCATGTCTCTTATTGCTGTCTAGGCTCCTACTGATGTATATAAACTTGAGGTGAAAGAGATGTTTTATGCCAAACTTGCATCTGTGGCAGACAGTTGTCCTCTGCGAGATATTCGTATTGTTCTGGGCGACTTCAATGTGGTATCCAGCTGCGATTGAGCTGGGTACGAGATGTTTGTCAGTCCTCATGGCTCAGGAGCTGATGCTGGCAGCAAGAATAGACTCCTTTTCCGTGACTTTGCTAGGTCCCAGAAATTGAGGATTTCTGGATCCTGGTATCAGCGTTCTGACCTGCATCATTGGACTTGGTACAGTGATACAGGTAGTGTAGCCAAGGAAATCAACCACATCCTCGTGAGCACTTGATGGAGGATCCTCCAGAACTGCAGGGTGTATCGAAGCGCCAAGTTCTGTGGAACCGATCATAGATTAGTTGTGACTACTCTCCGGGTCCATCCAAATGAACACCCTAGGGTGTTTCATTCGATTGGTGAACGCCTAAGAGCAAGACAGAATTCCATCTCGCAGGAGACACTGGAAGCCACAGATGCTTGTCGTGCAGCTTGATTGTCAGGGGATTGCAACTCGCACTATTCTCTGGTGCACAGGACTAGGTCACTGTTGAGAAGGGATAAGGAACAGTTTATCAGTAATCTTGCAGAGGATGTCGAAAGCCATTTCCTAGTAAATGACCTTCATTCTGCCTACCAAGCTCTGAGAAAGCTGAACTCCAAGCCCTCCTCACAGATGACTGCAGTCCACTCTGTAAGCGTAAGTGACCACCACAAGCCACTAGATGTAAGCGTAACAGAGAGGGTCTTGGGGCGGTCAATGAAAGGGGTCTTAACTTGCTGGTTTATTTCTGAAGGTAGATATGAGACCCCCGTGTCCCCGGGTGGAGGACGAGGTAGTGGAGCTGGACCCTGTGTGGCCTGCCTGCCGTCTCTCTGTGTCTCCCTCTCGTCTCAGGCGCGTGCCCTTTTATGCGGCGGTTTCCTTGGAGGGCGGATGTTTATCCTATGCGAAAAGAGAAAGGAAGGCAGAACCTGCATCCTGTGCAAGGAGAAAGGCATTTGCTTGGACCGAGGTGTGAATCTGCCATTCGGTCTTGCTACATATTGTTCACACACTCAGCAAGTTGCCAGATAATCTCAGATCCTGATGGGATGCGTGTGCGTTGGGCTGAGTATTTGGAACAGTTGTATCAGGTTGATCTACCTACAGTTAACATGGATGCGGGTAATGTTGAGATTCCTCTGCCAGACCCACCCATCAGCGAGGATCCACCCTCCCTGACTGAAGTCAGGGGGGCTATCTCCAAGCTGATGAGTGGTAAAGCAGCAGGTGTTTGTGGCATCTCAGCTGAATTGTTAAAGGCTGGTGGAGAACCTATGGCAAGGGGTTTGCATGTAGTCCTGTCTGCCATTTGGCAGACTGGTACCATTCCCCCTTCCCTCTCAAGAAGGGGAAAGGGGATTGGTGGGACTGCAGCAATCACCGAGGTATTACACTACTCAGTATACCAGGCAAGGTATACTGAGACGTATCAGAGACCACCTGCTGAGGCACCAAAGGCTGGAGCAATCTGGATTCACTCCTGAGAAGTCCACAATAGACCTCATCCTGGCGCTTCAAGTCATTGTACAGCGCCGTCGTGAGTTCGGACATGGGCTGCTCGCAGCTTTCATCGACCTCAAGAAAGCGTTTGATATGGTGCATTGCGAATCACTCTGGGAGATCCTAAGACTGAGAGGAATTCCAACAAGGATTGTTGGATTAATAGCAAACCTGTATACAGGCACTGAAAGTGCTGTAAAGTGTGGTGGGGGATTGTCAAGCTTCTTCCCTGTTAGTTCAGGTGTGAGGCAAGGCTGTGTTCTTGCACCAACACTTTTCAACACTTACATGGATTGGATATTGAGTAGAGCTACTGTCCAAAGTCACTGTAGAGTAACTCTGGGTAATATCAAGGTTACAAACCTTACCTTTGCTGATGATGTTGCCATTCTATCTGAATCTCTGGAAACCCTAATGGCGGCTCTTGATCCATTTAGCAATGAAGCGAAGCCCCTAGGGCTAAAGATCTCCTGGACTAAGACCAAATTCCAGGATTTTGGGGACCTACTAGGAGACCCTGTGCAGTTGGTACGTGTTTGCAGTGAAAACATCGAAGTCACAGAGAGTTTTATATACCTCGGTAGTGCAGTTCACGATTCTGGGCTGTCAGACCAGGAAGTCAGTAGATGGATTGGCCTGGCAGCAGGGTCATGAAATCTCTCAATAAGAGTATTTGGAGATGCTAGTACCTGTGCAGAAGGACCAAGCTACGAGTTTTCAAGGCCCTGATACTGCAAGTTTTAGTATATGGTAGTGAAACTTGGATGCTATCTTGCACTTTGGAATCTCATCTTGATGCCTTTTATAACAGATCCTTGTGCCGGATCATTAGGTACAGTTGGCGGGACCATATGTCCAACTAACGGCTGCACCGTGAGACCTGTTACTTGCTCAATCCGTGATTGCCAACTCAGGCTATACGGCCACTTGGCTCGATTCCCGCAGGATGACCCTGCCCACCAAGTTTTCTATGTCCGAGACAACCCTGGATGGAGGAGGCCTGTGGGATGACCAAGAAGGTCGTGGCTTGGGGGATATCAAACCTGTCGTGAGGAGCTAGAGATGGGCCGGGCCCTAGCCTGGCGAGCGGCGTTAGCTGCCAAATGATGATGATGATGTTGCGGCAATGTTCCCATTCCAGGCTGCCGTTACTCGAAGCGACGATCCAGGAGGTTCTTCGTGCGTCGTCCATGATTCACAACGGAGTCCAACGCGCAGCTCAGACCGATACTTACCTGGCAGGCTACTTCATTCCGAAGGCAAGTATCTGCCTCACCCTTC